AAAAAAAAAAAAAAAAAAAAAAGAAATAAGAAGAAACTATTTAGATTTTCAATATAAATTTATATCGTCATCTGAATTCTTAACATTCCTCGATAATGATGTAAGAATTAGTTAAAAAATACCTTTTCAAAATACCTTCTCAATTTGGTTATTTAAAACGAGTTAGATTATGAAAAGTATGTGAACAATTCACTTCGCATACGATAATACGATATACTCTTTAGATTAAAATTTATGATTGTACACGTGTTCCATTCTACAAATTCGGATTCGACGATATTATGCCGAGTTTCTAAACAAATGTTAATATCTCAAATGAGCAAGGATATACACGGCCAGTCGCAGAAATTCAGTTGTCAGGTAGTTTCAAGTAGTTAAAGAATAACAGATTTTCGACATTCTACAGACAGTTGAAGTTACAATTCTGATACGATTATACAAATCTTGAAATAAGATTTTTATCTTGCGAAATAAAAAAAGATAAAGATTACTTTCAATCCAATTATAATCAAATAAAGAAACATTATTAATATTTTGGAATTTTAACTGGAAAATTAATTAAAATTCATAAAAGCCTGCATTTTCTATTTTAAATATTTAAAATTTAATATATATATATAGACTTTTGCGATTGATTTATATAATAGTTTTATCAACGCTCATTTTCGACGGTAAGTTTCTCATTTTTGTTCCTTTCGCGCTGTAAAAAAATTTTCATATCATTGTTCCTAGTAATTTATTATTCAGGTGAAGACCGTTTGTTTCCTAACTGTCGACTGAATTCAAGTATTCCAATTCGTAAAAGAAAATGAACAAACTGATTCTAGGTTTGACAGAAGTTGAAATATTAGGCGATTAAGAGATAAATAAACGTGTCTGAACACTTGAAAAAGTGAGTTGTTCTTTCTTCTCGTTGCTCCATTTTTAATCATGAAATTTGTCTTTTGCTTTCGTCTCGTGTACAAACATTTCGTCTTCCCGGTTGTCTTCGTCTTCTAAGGCTTCTAATCCTGATATGTTTCTGGAAAACGTTCAGCTACCAAAGGGATCGAATTTCAGCGATCGAGATTCAGGAAGTCGGCGCATAGTGCTAAATGCTTGATATAAAGATGCATTGTCGGCGTCGCCGGCACTAAATCTGTGCGATAACTTATTCTCGGAATCCCATGTGGAGTTCGTCGGTTTATACAAACGAGGAATGTGTCCGTCTCCATGATTATTGCCGAAAACGAAATTATCGTTCCCTGAAATAACAACGCGTTCACCTATGCTCTCAAAAAATTTGCAATTTGATGATTTAACCCCTTTTGTTACTCTTGATCGTTCTTCACAATCCCTCCGAACAAAATGTCATCGAATTATTATTTAGAATATAGAAATTAAAAGATAAACTATAGAGAACGAATTATTATTTATTAGATAGAATCAGTTGTGATAAACGATTGTTAGAATTATAGGACACGATCGAGAAAATATCTAACGAGAACGAAAATATGTAATACGATAATGAAAATTTAAAATTTTCGATAGGATATGCTAGAAAATAGAATATGTTAGTCTAAATTACGAAACAGTCATACGAACTGTGAAATTTAAGAATTAAAAACTTCTAAAACTTTGGGCACTTTATTGGAACCAAATATTGAAGACAGAATTATGGCAGAACTTTGATTTCGAATTGAATTATTGATAACAGTAGAGTTAAAAAAAAAAAAAAAAAAACTATCGATAAGATTCATGTGCGATGAACAAAATTAGTAAAATCCATAACAATTCCGTAGCTGGAGCGACATTGTTTGACAGTAATATTGATTTTTTTTATTCCATTTCTTTTTTCATTGAGGATAAAGAAAGGAGAATTTAGAACTACTTTCCTTCTTTAGCGCGTAAGATGAGTTGACTCGTCGTAAAACTGTAAAGATTTCTCAATATTTCAATAATATAACTCATCGTCTCTGATTAAAGAGGTTAATTCATATATATTGTGTCTACATTCGGACACAATCGAGATAAACTTGGT